ATGTACAACACATGTAAGTAATGAAAGAAGAACCCTAGTTCAGAGATTGTATGCTTGAGTTTCTGGATCAAGTCAATACCACACTTACATGTACATTCATCTCACCATATTCACTCCAGAGTTACTCCCATTAAATATGAATGATTGTCAGACTTCTTTTGACAATCATTTTGAGCATTAGAAATCTATCCGAACTAAGCTCAATGATGAAGTTGATCACTTTTACATTCCTGATTTATCTAGAGTATTGAGGAAACTTTGATTAGTATCAAAAGAAAATCTATATCAGGGGTCCCCAATTCCCGGTCCGTGGACTGGTACCGGTCTGCAGCATACCAGCAAGTGGGCCGCACAAACAAGCAAAGTCCATCCTCAGGATGGAGGCAGTATTCAAAACCACAGCCCCTCTGGTCCACGGAAAAACCTTTCTCCATGGCACCACTCCCTGGTGCCCAAAAGGTTGGGGACCTCTGCTCTATGTTACACTTTTATCAGAAAATGTAGCATAATAATATTTGACGAACATTGTAGGACAACTAAGATTCTGTTATTATGCAGCACTATTTTCACACACTAATTTCAACAGATGTACTGATTCAGAATAGAAGATATACTGATTCTTAGACAATATACTTATACTAAATCCAGTTTCTAATAACTTCCTCTGCAAACTATGCAAGTTCAAAACTCAAATACTGGTTCAGTTATCTAGCAATACATTTTTGTTGATTATTATTGGTAAACTATTATACATAATTCCTGATGAAGCATTTTTCCTTAAAATAATGTGTTGTTACAGCTTCCAAATATTAAAAGTTAAGAATATAAAGATTCTGTGAGAAAACAAAATATGTGAGTGATTTGTGATAAAAACTGTCAAATCAAAATAAAGATCAAAAAGTGTTGCCCAAAATTATGTACCTGAATTTCACTGTCAAATGAGTGACAGTAATTAATTATTACATAACAATGCCACTTGCCAGTAACATTCAGTCGCATTAATTCCTCATGTCAAAATGATACTTGTCAAAACTGCAGCACTATCCAAACAAATTTAGCAGCACTAAGGAGTATAACCAAGTTAATTCTTCTGCATCTCTTCAAGATTTTCAACATCACTTGGCCGCCGTAAAAGATACTTCTCTGGAATTGGACTAAGTACCATTTTTTCCCAAGGCATCTGTTGCAGAATAATGATTCTGCACTCAATTGAACAGAGGTGGTTAATTAATATACATTATTAGATATTATATAATGGGGCCTATCCCCATGACAAGGTTTAAAAGATTACAGTATTTATATATTTAAAGGAAAAATGATAAACTCAGGCTGTGTGTGAGGGTGGGGGGTTGTGTGTCTGCCAGCCTTCAGTATAATTTTTGACTTACAGAATTGTACATGTAATTATATTTAGTACCCTACTCTTTAGCCCAAATCCAATAAACGTGGCCACCAATTTTAGTTATGATATCATCAGCAATATTAAATTTTACCTCTTTTCTGCCATAGATCCTATTAAGATGTTGGAATTGTAGGCCACTGTCTCCTATCATTAATGGCAGCTGGCAAACAACATTAGACATACTCTAAATAAAAAGTACTACTGGTTCATAGAACCAGTGTTAGGATCAGAAGGAACTTTGGAATCATGCTCTTGAAACCCAGCCCTGAGCAGGTCAGGATCAAACTCCTGGCAGTTGGCAGAGTCAGATTGCAATACTACATTCTAAACACTGAGCTACCAAGGCTTTTATGAGCTAATTTCTCCTGAATTTTGATCGAAGTTCTCTCAGATATTTTCTATCCCTATTGTCTCTGTATTACTTGTGAATTTAAAATGTATTAAACAACAGAGGGCCCAAAGTACATCTCTTTGGTATGCCACTTAACACTTGTCACATAGTTGACACTGTGGGAAGTCAGCCCCACCCTGAGAAGGAATATTAAAAAGGCAGAATATTATAATTCATCAAAGAATCTTAGAAAGGCAAAAAAGCATGCCCAGTTTTTCTTAATAGCCCCAAATCTCCCTACCCCAAGCAGAAACCAGCTCTGTAGAAATGCAGATATCATAATCCTTTCAGAAAGACTAGCACCAGGAAGCTTATGAGCTGATGAGATTAGAAAGACAAAGAACCCTAGAACTAACAACCCCTCACCCAAAAATAACAACACAGGACATAGCCATCAGCCACAGACCCAGGGCAGCAGGATATGACCTTTAGGACATAACAGGATTAACCTATCACCATCAGAATACCAGAAAGGCACATTGAATCTCAGGTCAAAGTTCATGTCACAGGAACAACTCCAAACACAAAAGCCCAAGAAGGTATAAAAATCCACCACTCCCTGCTCCAGGTGGTCAGCTTTCCCAGAGCCACGCTTCTGTCTCGCTTCGCTCTTCAATAAACTACAACCTTCTTTCTAAAGCAGTCTCCATTTTGTTTATTCCCGGCTTGGACTGGACCCTGATGAAGATTTTTCATTCAATAACATCGAGCGATTGGCATTCATTCTTGGATAGAAATGGCAGTGTGGTTCAATTCACATTCTGTTATCTTCTCTTCTAGAATCTCATGGGAGACTTTGCTGAATGCAAATGCATTTTCATAGTAAACTAAACTGAGCACTCTATCTAGAAAGGAGATCAGGTTGGTTTGGCATGAAATATATTTGATAAATCTATGCTGGTTTCTGCAAACAATGCATTTTCCTTAAATGCTCACATACCAAATGTTTAATAACCTGTTCCAAAGGTTTACCTTGTATCAGCATCAGGTTGAGTGATTTGTAGTTACCCAGGTTCATGTTCTCCCCTTTTTGAAGAAAGGAACAACATTTATTCTTTTCCAACCCTATGGTACTATGTTTACCCTCCTTGATTTATCACAGAAAAACTCTGAGATGACATCTGCAAGCTCCTTCAAGACTCTCAGAGGTAACTGACCTGATCCCAGAGACTTGTCCAAAGTAGCCAGGTGCTCCCTTACCAACTTTTCACTTCATTGTTCTGCTTAAGTTCATTTTAATACAGTATTGTTTGGGGGAAGCACACTGATCCTAAGCTCTTGCCATCCTACTGTTTTTTTTCTACGGCTGAACCCACTGCAAACAAATAAGATGAAAAGCTTATTTTGGTAGAGGTGAGCTCCCACAAAGAATCAGATTCACATTCTTATAAATTAGCTGGATCCACCATTTTGCTGCTTCATATCTGTTTGGTTGAGACTGTTTGTTTCAGCTGGGAAAAAAATGTTGTTCAGTTGTGGAAAAACAGACCAATCAACAGTCATCTATGTTCTAACAACATTGGGACTCACTCTGTAAGGCAAATATCAATTTAATCATACCACAATTAAGAATAAAAAATATTGTGTAAATTTCTGTAAAAGTTGTGGTTTCATGCTGCAGAATAATTGTTGAAATGTCCTATTTCATCAAATTTATTATTTCCTATGGTTACATTTTTTTTCAGCTATGCCAGCAGTCCCCAATCTTTCTGGCTTAGTGGCCCAACCCGAGGGCAAGAGAGGAAGGGATAGTTCCCTGTGACTGGCAGGTGGTGGTACAAGTGTGCAGAGTTCTATTTGCGTTAGCGCCAGGTAAATGCACTTGCCGCTCGTGCCAGGGGAGCTTTGTGTGTGAGTGAAAGCAGCCGCCGCTCACATGAGGGAAGCTTTGTGTGCAAGCACAAGCGGCCACTGCTCATGTGAGTGCAGCTTTGAGCGTGAGCAGCAGATGCTTGTGAGCAGCATCCACATACACTCGCCCGCTGTTCACATGGCCAGGTTCCAAACAGGCTGCGGCCTGGTAGTGGGCCACAGCCTGGAGGTTGGGGACCCCTGAGCTATGTCATTGCAGAGATGTATTTATACTATTAATTCATTGAAAGTACAGGCAAATGTTAATCATAACTTACTTAAGATCCCAAACACACTTCATCCCGCCACTGTATTCATTCCCAAATCTCACAAAAAAAACATTCACTATTGTTTTCCCTTCTGTGCTTTTCTAAATCCTACGAAAAAAGAGTAAGAGCCTAATTCAGTCATTGCCATTCTTTAAGATCCAATAGCCAGTGAAGTAACAAAAATCTCTTCCTTCCCACACGAAAGCAAGTGTTTAAACACATCATTTATTTTGCCAGGTCACATGAATCCCTACATTTCCAAGCATTTCCCATGAAGGCAAACTGCAAAACATCGAGGCTACCTTTCCTATTGAAAGAACCCCTAGCTCAGTGGTTCTCAACCTGTGGGTCGGGACCCCATTTGGGGTCGAACGACCATTTCACGGGGGTCGCCAAACAACACAGTCCGCCATTTTTTCCCCTTTTTCCTTAGCTGTACTACTCACTTTTATTCTATTGGCTTTTGAAAGCCAATAGAATAGACTCTCTTGAATAGAGTCTAATTCTATTAGCTTTCAAAAGCCAATAGGAATTGTCCAGGCTGTCTCTGCCCTGCTGAGCCCGCCAAAAGTCCCATTCTGCAAACGGTGCTGCACCAGTTGAGTAGTCCTCGACTTACGACCAGTTGAGTAGTCCTCGACTTACGACCGGTTGGGGGTCACGGCATTAAAAGGTTGAGAACCACTGCCCTAGCTCATCTTTGGAGGCAAATATTCCCACAAATGGGGCAATCCACTTCCTATAAATCACAGCAACTCAAAGAAAACAGTAGTTTCAATGCAGTTTCAAACATAACTGTAGCTGAAACAGAAAGAAATGGGCTTAATTCTATATACAGCCAATGCCATGGAATCACTGAAGTCTGGACATGATTTCAGATTTGAACAGAGCTTCTATAGGGAAGAGCCACAAGTTACAAAGTTTTAAAAAATGAACAAGGGTTGAATTGTGCCACATCTTAAATTTGCTATTAAATTCAGGCAGGCATTAGCACAAAATATTTGCCTTCCCCAATATTAAATCCAAGGAACCTCTTTCTCACACATGCCAAGAGAAGAGGATGAAATCTTGTAATATGTACACTCACCTTTGAAATGTTTATGTGCCTTGAATCATTCTTTACAATCAGAGTTTGACTCAAACATTTGCAGGAAGACCAGGGTCAAAAACAAAACGGTGACTTCACAGCCATGTTCCTTAGGAAGGAAATGTGATCTGCCTTGGTCAGGAAAGGGAAATTGTTTGGAAGTCTAGACTGATCCCCTTCCCTGCACAGGCTCTCCTCCTCTGGAGTGTTTTCATTGATTGCTACAGAGAGGGAAAACGGAGGAGAAAGGAAATAAGACAATACTTTCCAACGCTACATGTCATCTGTACACAGTATTATCTGATGCTACTGCAATTCAGACATTGAATAGCATGAACATGGGAAATGGGATGCAGGCCAGTAGAATTAAGGAATTATTTGAAGATAATGGAATATAATATACAAATGCTTATGAAATCAATTCTCAAAAACCAAACTGGAGGTATCCCCCCCCTCCAAAAAAAAGCAAGGAAGCAAAACAGGAAATGGCCAATCTGCAGCAGAGCTCACATAATAGAAATCTGTTTGTACTTACAATAAATAAAACAAAGTTACAACTGGCTTTCTGGAATTGTGTTGGCCATGAAGAACAAAAGGATAGTCAATCTGACAGTAATGGATTCTGTTAATGCAGAGGAGATTATTGACAAGGAGAATCATACTTGAAATTTATTTAAGTAACTAGGGTCCCACAGGATAGCTGTGTCTAACAGTCCTTGTCCACCACTTCACCTTCCTGCTCCTTTCCCATAAGAGTTCAACATTTTAAGAAAAACCTCACACTGAAACCGATGGGAGGAATTTTGTTGCACATAGCTGTGCTATGAAAAGCCTGGGGTGGGTGGGAGTTATAGGGAAACTAGGGTTAACTGCTGCCCCTCCCTGCAATTGCCAACCCTGTAATCAAGGTTCATAATCTTTATGAGGAAAGCTCTTCATAAGCATTATCCTTAGCGGTATTCAGGTTACAATGCAAATACCTTGAGATAGTTCCTTCTATTTATTAAAAAACAGGCACACAACATAATCATCTTTAGAGGTTGAGGATGCATAACTTTATTTTGTAAATAATTTTAACAAGTGCTGGAATCATACATATTTAATGGGTTCGTACTTCATGTGAAATCATGATTTGCCAGTGATGGTTTACAACACAGTCAGTAATTGGGTTTATGCAATGTGGTATGTCCAAACCACAAATTACCCTATACCCTCATTTCTAATGCCCCTCCCCCACATATTCAACTTGACCATCAACAGAACTATTTTATCAAATACACACAATAAAAGAGGGCACGAAAACATTTCAAAAGTATCAGACAAGCACTGTAAATGGAGAAGTGATTTCCAAGACGGAAATCTTTAATCTGCAGAAAAAAACCTATCACTCAGACTCCTACATAGTTGAACTGAAACAAAGGAGAATGAAGTCACAACCAGAGTGGTTTATCTTTATCCATTTGAAATATGTATTTATTCATTCATTAGATTTACATTCCATATTTCCTTCAGGAGCTCAAAATCAAACTTTTGTTTTCTTGCAAAAACAACTTACAAAATACTTTAATATAGCTACTTATAATATAGAGAATGAGACCCAATTTGATCTAGGGTTTAAAGCAACAGACTAAAAACCAGGAGACTTTAGAAATGTAAATTGGCTGGGTGACTTTGGGACAGTCACTGACTCAGCTCAATCCATCTCATAAGGTTATTGCTGTGGGGAAAACAGGAGGAGGAAGAAGTATTCAGCATCATGAGTTATTTCTAAGAATAATAAAAATAAATAAAATACCACCATTAGTTATTATACTATGTAAAAATATGAATGACATTATTACATCAAAAATATGGGAAGGTTTTGGTTAAGATTTTTAAGATCCAAACAGGCAGGCATCTTATTTATAATGTACCTAATGTAACAATTATTAAAAAGAAGTAGTCTGTCCACTGATGTTGCTATTCTATGTGATGCTAGAATTGAGGAAACACAATTGGAAAAAAATACAAAATATTGGGACTTGCAGATCAAAGTTGAATGCTTGGAAAAACAACTCTTTTGCTATACCATTTGTGTTTGAAGCCCTTGGAGCAATATCTAAAACACTTCCTCAATATATGGAAATATTGAATTTATCAGACCCGAACACCCTAATTTTACAAAAACCCACCCTGCTTGTAGCTGCCTATATTCTTAGGCACTACCTTAGGACTTAGGACTTGAATCATTAAGTTTTAACCAGTCTTAGACTTGAATTTAACTATAGTTTGCCCACACATAATAACGTGTTGTTCCTTCTGAATGGCAAGAGACCTTACAAAAAAGGAAACTCTTTTGCCTGATCTAGTGGATTGTCAAAGGCTCTTCTCTATTTATTTGGTGCCTCCATGTTTGTGTATTGAACTCAGGATGTGGGCTATAGGGATTTGTTGGAAATTATTTATTTATTTATTAAATTTGTTTGCCTTCCATCTCACTACGAGATATACTAGGAAGGTCCTAAGGCAGGGGTGGCGAACCTATGGCACGCGTGCCAGAGGCAGCACTCAGAGCCCTCTCTGTGGACACACATGCTGTCGCCCCAGGCCTGCCTCCCCCTGCAGCCCCCTCCTCACCAGCAGTTCCCCCAGAGGAGAGTTGCCCCCATGCGCAGCCCGTGTGGAGCAGCATAGTCTAGGACATGGCAGCTGGGCAGCAGGGACAAGACTCCGCCTTTGCACCCCGTCGCATGATGTTGCTGCGGGGCACAGGTGGAGGGCGTGGCTGCCATGACACTGCAGGGCTGCCTGGGCAATCTGCTGCAGCAAGCCGTGGAGGTGTTGGGTGGGTGGGGACGGGGCGGAGCAGGGGCTGGCAGGAGCAGGGGAGTGGAGCAGGCACAGAGTGGGTGTGGGCTGGGGGCAGGGCGATTTTTGGGTACTCGGTCTCTAAAAGGTTCACCATCACTGTCCTAAGGAGTTCTTTTAATAAACCTATCCCTCTTCTCTAGAATATTTCCTGAATTCTTTTGCCATACCTATAACAGTAGCACCTCATGATCAATGTCATGAAAACTAAACAATGACCAACAGTGTCTTAATTTGTTTAATAAAATTTCTCAAAACCTTCATCATTCTCCTCAAAGAATCAATGTATTGAATAGGAATAAGTTGAGAATTAACATATTCAAATGAGAAAGAAAACAAAACTGACAATTTCTTCATCCCAGCTGAAGTCTGAATGTTCAGTTTTTAAAGTTTAGATGTGAATCCCAGCAATGACTTGGTTATGTTTGTGATTATGAACCACCTCTACTTTTTAAGAGTTCTGCCTCTTTACCAGCTATTTGTTGTTGTTGTTGTTAATTGTGAAGTCGTGTCCGACCCATCAGCTATACAGTATGGTAAAAAGAGACAGTATCTCATGATAAGAATTACTGACTCATTGAAATTGGCCAGTGCTAATGCATAAGGATTTCCTTTAGGTTTTTTTAAATATAAGAACTTACAAAAATAAAATTGGATGAAAATAATTTAAGTTGTTTTTGAAATGTTGTGTGAGAGACAAGACAACTGAAGTTCTATTCTATTTCAAAGCCAAAAATCAAAAGCAACAATAAATAACAGAATAAGCAAAATCCAGCAAGAATTTTTCCTACAAGTATAAGGAGAATATCCATTCACACAAACATTTTCCTACACAAAGAAAAACTAGAAATGGTGCAAGGAAGATGCCAACTATGTCACTGTGTATTTTATGCATTATCAGACAGATGATGATTTGATTCTTGTTGGCTACTATTTTCTATGAGAATCTGGGATCTGTTTTCCATGAAAGAAGAAAAAATCCCAACCCATATCTCATATATCCTTTTTCTTACAAGGAAGATGCTGAAATTCCCCTAAATAAATATAATTAGGAGCCCTGAATTTAAAGTTGTTGTTTTTTTAAAAAAGAAGATTATTTTTGCTTTATGCAAAGCAATTTGCTAGGGTTGTAATTGCGAAAGAAGAAAAATTTCTCAACCTTCATTGCTCCCTTTGGATTAACTTGGCTGGGAAAAAGATATACAGGAACATATATTTTCTGTAGTGAAGCTAAAAATCAGTACAGAATTGTTCAACAGGGAAATAATATGAAAGGAAAGGATAAAAAAAATGCCACATCCCTTTTTCCCTTATATCTAGACAGGTAGGGTAAAGTCATAATCAGCTTGATACAAAAAAGGAAAAGGCAGAAGATATGCTTTTGGAAATCAACAAGATGTTTGAACAGGATACCACTAGGAATATTCTGAGTAAAAAATCTAGAAATCTTAGAAGAAGGCAATGGCTAACCATTTCCACATGGTTGCCAAGAAAACTCTGGGGAGATATCCATGAAGTCACAAGATGTCAAACTCACTCAAAAGACTATCAAAATTCACAAACAAACGCCTAAGGTCATAGAACATTTTTTATCAACTTAAACGCAGAGTAAATAATTGAATCCATTTTAAGCCACTTCCTGCCTAAATTCAAAGTATGGGACTCAAGGCTAAGGTGACCAACCATCCTCCTTTAGGGAGGACAGTCCTCCTTTTGTGAGTTCTGTCCTCCCTTGAAAAGTGTTCTCCTACATGTCCTCCTTTTCAATATTTGAAAACTAATCTGCAGGACTTTTTGTTCTCATAGAACGCTCAAACAGCGTTCCGGCCCCTTTTTTTGATTTTTTTTTTCAACTTTTGCATGAGCTGTACTACTCCCCCTATTGGCTTTCGAAAGCCAATACGAATTGCTGCTGAGTGGGCCAAAACACCCGGCCGGCAAACTTTGCACATGTAAGTTGTCTGCAGCGAAGGCGAATTGTCAGGAACATTGCACCCCTCCCTGCTACCCAACTACACCATCTCCTAGTTAGCCCCGAAGATACCTGGAGAAGACTGGAGCAGCGACGCCATGGTAACTTTCTCTTGATCTTCGGCCCTGCTAGGGCAATAATGGCTGCGGGCACAAGAGGAAGGGGTAGCGGGGCTGTTGTGGGTGGGAGTGTGAGGGGCAGTGGTGACTGGCTGCCCCCCATACTGTGGGAGCCGCGGGGCCTGCTCTACATGGGACTGTGCAGGGTGGGCGGTGGTGCTGGTGGGGCAGCTGCAGGTGGGGTGTGTTGATAGCGGGCTGCCCCCGGGGCTGGAGCCAGCACAGTTGGTGCTTTGGGAGCCATGGGGCCCGTTCTACATGGCAGGGCAGCAGTGCTGGCGGG